GAGAACGGCGGGAGGCACCATCAATATGCAAATTGCTGCCAGATAACTGGTTTCGCTGGTTCCGCCTTGGGAAGCGGCATCGCCGCCGCAGGGGCATCCGGGGGGCGCGGCGGCCCCATCGCGCCCGAGTCCCGCCGCCCCGCGGGGCCCCCGGAGCGGGGCTCGGCGGCGAGGACAGCGCTCCTCCGAGCCCCGCGGCTTCCCCGAGCCCTCCCAGCTCCGCGGGGCCTCATACGGCCTTCCTCAGTGTGCTCGTGGGCTCTTCTGCTTGGGCATTCCTTTTGCAAGGGGTATATCTAAGTGCCCTTCCTTCGCCCTGAGAAGTGCTGGCAGTTTGATGTCGCAAATCTCTAGTTAGAAGATGAAGATTTTCTTGCCTCCATCGGCTCACCTGAGAGGTGCTCCTAGGCATGGAGAAGGAAAAAGAGTACTCAAATCTGAGTGGCATTGCAGACCTGCTCAGGAAAATCTGTAGATGCTCCCATGTGGATCTGTATCCAAAGCACACATCCAGGCCCTCTCTTTTCTAACTCAGCATTTGAGGGATGGGAAGGGAGCCGGTGGTTTTTAAAGTAAAATGAAACTATAATTCACAGGTAAGCATTTACAAAAGTACATGAGCCCATTTTTAAAAGTCACAAAGAAGCAGATCTCAGGTGGGTTCTGGGTTTGCTCTGCTGGCAGATTCAAAGCAGCACTGCTCATCACACCAGCCTTCTGCAGGGCATTCATCAAAACCGTGGGAGCATTTTTAAAACCCCACCAAAGTAAACCATACAGCTAATTTATAAGCATTCAGATGTGCAGTAACTCTAGCACAAATATCCCTATCAGTATGGTGGTGGCCCTATATAATACAATAAGATGCAATACAGACCTGTGACTGTCTATTTAATGCATAACATGCGTTTTTAAAATTGCCTGGAAATATATTCATATTGTAAAATCTAATGGTTCAGGTGGAGCTTTTACTCTTGATCAAATAATAAAATTGTTAGAGACCACTCTGTCATCCCATTGCTCATCAACCTCCGTGAGGACTGTTTTACATTCCCGTTTAAATAGGACAGGAGAGCAAAAAAGGAAAACATAAACCACAGAAGAGTTACTACAGACATTAACTTTTAAGCTAGAAAAGCAAAAGAGCTGAGAAAGAAGCTCCATTCCGGGGGAATTGGCTTCGTCACTCTGCATCCATCGAGGTTTCCTGCAGCCAAAGCCTCTGGACACGAATCACATTAGGATAAGGCTGCACTCACTAAGTCCCAGGGACTGTCTGGGGCAAGGTGTCCTTGTTTGGCCTCCAAAATAGCTCCTTCCTGTGGATTTCAGTCTGCCAGGGAAGGGGACTGATGTGGACAGATAGAGCCTGTGGACAGCTGAGACTCCCCCGTGGGTGGCAATGGCCTTGTCCGTGAAAAAGGAATTTGAAGTGCAGGCTAGTGATAGTAATGGTGATTACCATTAAAGAGTGGCGCTTTTCATTACTGAAAACTTCAAATAACTCTCCTGTACTATATTTGAGAGGTTTTTTTTTTTTTTCATGTTAACTCTGGGTTTGATTGCTGAAAAAGGTTGACTGCTAGAAAAGGAAAACCAGTGCAGTGCACAGCAGTGGGGAATCGAAGCCCTTCTTTACCAGAACCCCTGCCATATACGTACTGTCACTCACCTTCCAGACACTCAGTACAACCATTCAATCTATTGAATCAAGAGAATGTTTGATCTTATCTGCATCTGTGAGCTGACTGTCAACCTGCTTAGGCTGCATATTAAATCATCTATAGTAGCTGTATCAAGCTGGGATGATCTGTTAATTCTAAATTTATTAACCCTTAGAGTGCAGTCATCATGTTTAATCTAGTGTAGCCAGCATTTATTTTACAAGACTAAATCCTTCTTTAAGACATGGCTGTGCTGTAGGTTAAGGAATTGGTAACGTGGAGGAGCTGGTAACTGGGAACAGCCTCCCTTTGATCTCTGTAAGCCAGCTGACAGCACCACTGCTCCAAACACATATGTGTGCGCTCACGTCACACTCCTGTATCCGGGATGGGGGGGCTGTACATGTATGTGGACCTAATGACATTACCTGGAAATTTTGCCTGAGACGAGCCAGAAAATGAGCAGCCTTGAACAATGTCTGAGCCCTGTGCCTCCAGGAGGACTTAAAATCAAAAATCAAAGAGACAGCAACCACCGCAGCACAAGCTGAGGGTGGCTGCAGGTGGGGTCCTGCAAGGAGCTGCCACCAAAGCTCTGCTCCGAGTGGGCACCCGCTTCTTAACCCATAAGTGCGATCCAAACCAATTAACAAATATCCTGGGAGTGCTGAGGAGCACGGCCACGGCAGGACACACGGGAATCTGAGTGTTCCTCCCTGTGTATGTACAAACACAGCCCGCCGCAGCCACGGCGGTGCACATGGATAATTTCATACGGATACATACATCCGCATCAGTATGTTAATCTGTTCGTTACACACACGTCTCTCCCTGCCCTTCTCTCCTGTTATCTATTATCTTTGCACATTGCCGATGGTATCAACATATTCACAGCTTTTATTTCAGTTGCAAACTGCTAGGCATGCTTCCTTTTTTGGTAATCATGTGCCCGGTATCTCTCTAATGTAGCCTAATAACAATTTTAGCATTCAGATGAAGCGATTTCATTCTGTGACTGCCTTTTCTATTAGATTTGATTCTGAGAAGCCCCAGTGGGTGCCTCGGAGGCAGAGATCTATCTGTGAGGCTGCAACCGATTCAATAGCAGCCTGAGCTAACCTTGACCTTTCCCTAGACCCTGCTCCATCTGGTGCCAGCCTGGTCCCCCCCTTCTCCTCCTCCTTGCTTCACAGTCAGCATTGATCAAGGCGGAATCGAGCGTCTATCTCCCTCCAAGGGCTGGGCAGTCGTGGAAAGGACAGCACATTTCAATATATGGAAATGATCGAGCCTCTTATGCAATCATAAATCTACATACAGCCTCGTGATTCGATCTTTCATTCACCTCCAAAGAGTCTCACCCTCCCTCCCACCAGCAGGGATTTATAAACTATAAGACAACAGCTTTCCCCAACACCTGGATATTACAAAGCTTGCTGTTTATCGGGAGCGAACGCCTGGCAATTTCATCTGATTCACTTTGTGGTTTATTTATTATCACTCTGTTGTTTTCCCTGCGTGCCTGGGTTATTTTATTTCTTTCCGGGGGCTTCGCCCGCACGCCCCCGGCCCTTTCTGGCGGTGGCAGCCTCTTGGAGAGGGGCTGTCGGATGCCGCTGTCGTAGCCCCGAGGGAAGGGGCGGACGGGCTCGGCTCGATCCGCGGCTCGCAGCGGACCCGAGCCCGCGGCCCCAGCTCCGCATCCCGCTGCTCTCCGAGAGCGTTTCAGTAGCTGGGAACGAGCACAGGCTCCTATAATAAATCAGCGCCCGCCACTTTGTCACCTTCCCACTTCTGCTCCGTTTTTTTGTCGCCTTCCCCGCTGCCCCGGCCCCCCCAGAGCCGCCCGGATGCCCCTGCTCGCTCCTGGGGGGGCGAGTCCCTCCCCAGCGTGGCTTTCACCGCCGAGATACTCCGTGCTGCACCAGCCCTCTGCTCTCTTTCCTCGCTAGGACGTGCACTTACAATCAATAATTTTATTTTTCTTCCGAAGAATTCTGACGTAACCGCAGTTTCTCACCGCATACCAGCCTCGAGATTACATAACCGATTATGTAAAATTATAATTGCAAGATAATATATGCAGACTCTAATTATTACCTAGAGTTTCCCGTGTAGCTGTAGCCAGGCACATAGCACATATGTTAAGAGTCGGTTTTGCAATATTTGCATAGCCAACACTTCTGGCTGGAGACACAGTGTGGAAAAGGAAAGGATAGATATTTGACAGTACATATGTATGAGAGAGATACATTACTTAATAGGAAAAGGTATCTGGAAATCTATTCCTCTCTGTTTTGAGGAATTTGTTTTGCTTTATCTCCATGGGTAGAAAAAAATAATAGGAAGAAACTGTGAATTACGTTGAAAAAAAATAGATATATTCAATTTGTCAGTTTAATATTACACTTCCTCTCTGCAATACTACAAAGATTTAGAACATTTCCAAAACTTTCAGCTTTAATCTGTGCCTCAGGTTTGTTTGGAGGACCTGCCACCACATGCCAGCTAAAAATGAGTGTCAATTAATAATAAAACACACTCTTTCTTATTCTGCATGCATATAATTTAACAGGTTTTGAGAAAACCATGGATGTAATGGTGAGAATTTTCCAATGTGTGCAATATTAACAGCTTTCGTTCTAAAGCACCAAAACTTCCTGGAACAGAACTGCTCAATCTTTTCTCACTTTTCCCAATGGCCATCTCCACCTATTATTATACACCTAAAATGCAGACTATTTAGCTCCTTAAAAAGTGTGGTTAGTTCTACCAAGAACATAGTTGGTAGAAACAATCTCAGATTGAGGCAATTCAGGTGAGTGCACTATTATGTGTGGCCCACAAAATTAGAAATAATTTGAAACAAGAAGTGGGAGAGGTTTCAGCTTGCGTTTTCCACTACATGAGACATGACTGGAAAATCTTTGCTACTACAATGCAATAGGATTCCTAAAGTCTCTGATTTCTGAGCTACCTGAGCAACCACATAACCTCTGCAGAAGTGCCTGACCATGGCTTGTTGTTGAAAAGCATATTGTACTTATTAGTAAAATGTGAAATGGCTTAAAAAACAGTTTGAGCTATGAATTGCCATCTGCTCAATGGGGAGAAACAGAAAGTAACTGAATATATTTTCTCACCTTTTTTTATAGTAACATAAACAACACTCCAGAACACTATAAACTTGTAGCTGTACCAAAGGCGTTGGTGCAGTTCATTGTGCTTCAAGTCAGGACTTTGTCCACACTGTTACATGCTGTTTCTTTTAACTCTCTGCAAATGTCCCAAGGTATTTTTCCCCCCTACTAGGTAAAATGGCCTTTTTAATTTCAGAGATTAAAAATTTGATGCCACTGCCCTGATACAGAGCTAACCTGAGGTCTGTGCATGCCTTGAGACATCAAAATACAGGTAAAGCAGCATACAAAGCTTGTTCTGGTTCCCTGTGTGGGAGGGAAAGAGGGAAGGGTTTATGTTACCCAGCTTTCATGCAGAGCTTTGGATCACTTGTGTCCATCACATGAAAAATTTGTCTTTGTCCTCTCTCCTCCCTCAGCCCCCTTTTTGCAGGGAAAACCCGAGGAAGCACTCGGGACTGCTTCCTCTGGTGTTGAGCTTTGCCAGCACCACAAGCACATTCCTCCAGTGCCTGCAAACACAGTGACCTTCCCCAGAGCTGTGGGGACAAGGCTGTGAACTCTGCTCAGAGCACAGGAGGCCTCTGCCTGTCCCAGGAGAAAGGCCCTGCAGCAGGGCAGTACCTGCCCAGGACTCCCTGCGAGCACCTAGGGAAACCATCCGTGCTGGCAGTTGCTGCTCCACACAAATGCTGTGACAGAAAGGACAAAATAACATCTTTTTGTTTTCTGCTTAGCCAGGGTGATTTCTTTGCTCTCCTTCAGCTTTATTCACCTGGGAATGTTGACTTTTTTTAGCCTGTTTGTCCCGTTTCTTGCCTAACAGCAGCTCAGCTATCCTGCCCCAAACACTGCTCTTACCACCTGTGGATTGGAAAGGAGAGAGTTCCTCGAGTCAGGGAGCCATTCCAACCAAATGGAGGCAGACTGGGAGATCTTGGCTTGGAGTGAGTTTCCCAAGGAGCACGACGACAAGAGAGATGTGAATTGTTAAATTCTGTCCCAAAGGATGAGCACGTGTAAGACAGTAACTCTGCAATGCAGAAATTGTCTTCACCCTCCCGCCTGATGCTTTCTCCTCTCTGAAAGCCTGACTTGTTGAAAGCATCACTTAATAATAATACAAGGAGCAGCTTTTCTCCTCCCTCAGAACTTGGCAGGAGCATAAATACACAGTAAGGGAAAAGAGGAATCAAAAACTTAACAATAGGAAAGGGAAATATAACGGTGTAAAGTGGCCTGCACCCTCATATTTTAATTTCCACCATATGCCCCAGAAAAGCTGGGCACAGCAAAACCTCAAGATTGATATGCAAAGTGTGTGAGCTGGTTGCAATAGCTGCAACACAGCGCATGCCTAGGTGTTCTACACCTCACACACATATCACCACCTAGGATTAGGATTCAAATCACCTGTCCTCTGTCGCTAATAAAAATGAAATATATTAGGGGAACTTTGAATACAGTGGCTTGACAGAGCATGTCGTGTCTCATGTGTGAAAAAAACACGACAAGCACACAATCAAAAAGCAGCTCCCATTTTTGTGGCACAGGATTTTTCTGTTTCAGAGACCAGGACAGCCTGAACCCTTAAACTCCTGCAGCTCCTGAGAGTGCAGTGAGAGGTGAGATCATCACTCACTGCTACAAGGAAGAAAATCATATATTTTTATGAGACATCCAGGTTTGCTTTTTGTTTTCCTTTTTGATATGTGCAGAACATCAGCAAAGCATGAGAAGCAGTGCTGTACTTTGAGTGGTCCTTCCCCTGCCACAGCAGAACACCACCCTGGGGTGGAAGGGTGGAAGTTGTCTATACTGGCATTTACAGGTTTGCCAGGGTTTTCACTGTAAGTCTAAGCCATCCTAGCCTAAGATCCAGATACTGCAAAGGCTTCTGGAAAACAGAGACAGCCAGTATATAAGCATGTCTCTAGAGACCTGACACGGTTGGCAGCTTTTTCAGCCCACCCTGGGCTCAGGAAGCAAGAAGCCAGACAGATTTTAGGGTGGAAAGTGATAAGCAATGCTCCAAATGAGATGCAAACAAAAGACAGGGACTTCCAGGCACAACAGGTTATTTTGTTCTGTGTGAATGGCTTCCATTATTGACACAAAGATGGACATTACCAGTTCAATCACTATTGGAAATTGTGTCCCTTCCTTGATTGAGGGTATAAAACTAATTCAAAAAGGTAAATCACAGCTCCAGGTGCTGGAGAAAGAAATATTGTAAAGCCTGTTCAGTATGGATTCATGCAACAAACAGCAAATGCTTCAAAAATTGCCCCAACTTCCAAGAAGAATGCTTGAGGAGGCTGTAAACAGCCAAATCCCAGGCACCCTCTGGGAAAAGCCCCATAGAGTTACAGAATTACAACAAATGTGTCTCAAATCTGCCACCTCAACAGGTAACCCTGATGTTGGTTTCTCTGGAGTGCCCTCTTCCTGCTGAATTGTCAGACTGTTGGTGGAGGAAGACAGAAGAGGAAGGACTGAATGTGCCACTGCTTGTGCCATGATCTGCAGATAGTGTGAGGACTTTGCTCCTTATGACTGTCCATCTGGCGCCATTCCTGAGCAATAAAAGCTCACCCACAAAGTATTTTAAAGCAAACAGTTGGTGTAATGAATACCTTAATAGTACTAATACAATACTACAAATAGTAACTACTATAAAAATACCCACTCAGTGAAAAGAGCCCCGGTTCACTGCCCAGCTCCTTCAGAGAGCAGGAGACAGGACCCACAGAGGCTGTGAGTATATTTCGCAGCAGGGTGACTTCCTCTGCCACTCGCTCTCAAGTAATTCCCCATGGCTAATCCAAGCACACCTGCACACCTTCCAGCAGAAGAGGTGTTCCAGCAACACTTGGACCTAATGAGAAAGTGAGCTGGCCACCAGAAATGGGTGTGTGTGCATAGGATCAGGCACCACATGTTCTAAAAATACAAAGAAAAGAAAAAAAAGGATTCTATAATTTATCATTTTGTTGTTGTTTGTTTTGTTTTTGTGTATGTGATCTCTGCACAGATTCTCTCTTCTTCCTTCTTCAAACTTAGAAAAGCAGGACCACTGAAACAGCCTCAAGAGCCAAAGACTATCTCTGATTCATCAGCACACATCTGTGCACAAGAATAAGAGATGATTTCGTAAGATACCTGGAACAAAAACTCTTTATCATTTAAGATCAGAATTTGTTTACCAGGGACATTATTTAACCTAAGGAAGACAGGCAGAAATCTGAAAATCTGTCTTTAATTTACTCTGTTATGATCTGTATTATTGTTCTTGCAGTTCTGCAAGAGTTCTTGCAGTTCTCTTTACAGTAGGCAGGCTTGAGCAACACAGGATGAGCTACTTTGTGGAGAGTTGAATCCTAAAGTCTGAATTCCTGATTTAAATTTAGTTGGTTCCCAACCAGATTCACCCATTTTTTTCCCTTTTGAAACTATTTACTTGACAAATGTAAAATAAATACTGAAACAAGCTGTACATAAGTATTGTACCCAAAGAGTACTTACAGTACCTGAGAAAGAGCACTGTGTAGAGGGTTTTTTTGGCTGGTTTGGTTGTTAGCATAGTACATCAATTATCTTATGCTATTTTATATAATTTTATTTTATGCCTTAGCATACAATAAAAGCAGTATCTGTTCATATCCTCATATCCCTACATGTAAAAATAAGGTGTCTTACACTTTTAAAAATTAAGTGTACCTTCCACTAATCTTATATATCTTCTTTTTTTCTTTCATGACAACAAGTACTGTTTGCTGTGTGTGACTATTTCAGTGAGCTAAATATCTGTTGAAAACTCAAATCATTCACTGGCCTCATTTTCTCTAGTTGCTGCATTCAGATTAATAAACCTGTTTCCTACTTAAAATGAAAAGAGAATTCAGAAACGTTTAGCATCAAGTGAAAAAAGCAGCAAGAAAATTACTAACTGACACCAGGACATGGCATATTTATTTTGTCCTGTCAATTATTTTTAAAGAATCCCTTGCTTATGGAGGAAGATTTTTTAAAAACCTGGACTATTAAATAAAGATGTCCACAAACACCAGTTTCTTCATTTTTCCTCATTTTGGAGAAAGTGAGTAGTGGAATGGTTTGGGGTTTTTCACTTTATATTATTATACTTTTGCTGGTGCTGAAAAGAACTCACGTTTCAAGGGTCACAGAATAAACCTGCATAAAGCATTTATGACACTGCGGTAATGCATTTATGAAGGCAAATACTCACGGGCACTTAGGACATTAGGTAAACACCAATATCAGATGTTCTCCTCAACACTTCAAAGCTGCAGCCGAGTGCAAAGTTCCAGAGGTACCAGCTACTCCAGGGTCAGCGGTGGCTCCGAGGAAGCACATTCAGAGGCCTGGACCTGGAGGTAATTTCAATGTGTTCTCATCCAGTCATGAGCACACAATCACCTATTGAAAGTGTCTGGCTTGGAGTGCAGACAGATGGAGAGCAGAGGGGTTAGTACAGCCAGGCCTTGGACTGACCTTTGCAGAGAGAATTAAATCAGTCTGACCTTGTTGTGAAGCCTAAATTATATCCATAGACCCCCAAATAATGCATCTTTAATGCATCACTGCCCTCTTTTTATCTGCCTCTTTACCTCGAGGGTATCTTGTTTGCTAACTACTGATGTTAAATTGCAGCTATTTATGCTTACATTTGTGACCTCGGTGGACATCTTGTCACATTTTTCATGAGCACTTGGAAAAGTAGAGAAATATTTATATAGAGAGAGTTATATAAAACTGAGGTCTCGTTTCACTTCTACATAAAATAAACATTAATAGGAAAAGAAACCTGGTTCAACTGTGGGGCTCTGTATTCATTGTATAAGTCTAACACAATAGTCATTGTATGATTCTGAGCTTCAATATCATCCATAACCTATCATCTGGACAGCCTGGAAAAATGAACGGTGCCACATAATAGGATTTCCAGTATCTTACGAACAACTTTTCTTCTCAGATATTTTTAATATTTAGGATTTTTTTTAAAATTCAAAATAGTGCTAAGAACAGAATAACCCCTGTGACACCTGTCAGTTTTGGTAATGCAGACCTCTGGACAGAAACAATACCGAGTCCACAGGCTGGAATCTCGACTGGAAACCAGCTCAGTTCAGACCAGGAAGGGTTTAATTGGTACTTCTGTTGACTGTAACAGCAGAGGAGCCCAGTGGAAGTTCAGGAGAATTGCATCCTTTCCCACTGCCTAAAAGGCTCCGTTTTGTGGTTTTCTGTTGTACCTTAACCCAAACAAAAGGTGCTTTGAAAAAAAAAAATCTTAGTCCAAGATGTTGTTTTCCAAGTACCATTATTCTAAAGTGCATCAAGTTCCCTTTCAGCTTTTATTAATCACAATAAAACTCTGACTTAAACTGCAAAATGAATGAGGTTTTGTTCCTCTGCTGTTCATTTGGGATCTTGGGTCTGTCACCAGCTGTCTTTACAATTTGGGCAAGTCAGCGGGGCCTGTCACAGGGAATCCTCTGGAATCTCCATGTGGAAAGCTGAGATTCCAGAGGCTGGTGAGGTCCACCATGCACAGGATTGGCACCACACCACACTCTTCCCAGCAGCTACCAGGGTAGCTCATCCAACTTACAGAGTCACTCCAGGGCTGGCCCTCCCACCTGGCTGACCTAATCATCCTGCTCTCTAAGCCAACACAAAAATATTTGCTCCCTTTTGCGGAGAGGGTTTTTGCTGCTTTAAGGAGGGGAGAGGAGCAGGAGCAGCAGCACAGAGCGTGCAGCTGCAGGGCGGAGAAGAGCAACCCAGTGCAGCACTGATTTAAATCAGCTGCACAACCACACCATTAGATTAAACTGCTGATGAAGGTTAAGTTTGGTCTAATCCTTGGCACTGAAGCAGCTGAAATGCTGGAAGATGCTGCTTGCTCCCAGCTTTATTCCTTACATTGAGAAAAGCCCAAATCATCAGAAGTCTATTTGCATCACTAAAGAGCCACGCGGCAGGGTGGGCTACAATGATAACGCTCCTCACTGGTGTGAGCAGTGTGCATGCTGAAATAAAAATTAATATTTTACCCATTCCCTATGACATTATTTTCAAAACAGATAAAACAGGGCACACTTCATCCCAAACTGCCCGCTATTACCTCCTCAAGAAGCTCATTCCTTATCCCAAAAGTGAGCTTTGGGATCAAGTCAGGCACTCAGGGTCCTGCAGATCCCATACTGCCGTAACCACCCTTGAGTGCTCTGCCTGTGCTGAGTGAAACCTGTCCACAGAAGGTAACAACTGTTAGTCAGAAGCACCAGCCCTGGGCAAAGGAAGAGCCACAGCTGCATGCAATGTAAGCGATGTGGTGTTATTTTAATTGGGTTTCTTTGGCTCACAAGTCTCAGGTGCTCCTGAGAGACACGTAGGGATAATCTGCTGGGAAAGCAGAGGTCAGTGCAGCCCACAGAGCTGGGCTGTCGGCATTTTCTGCCCAGAAACATGTTAGAAGTCCCTGAAAATGGAAGTTTCACATTGCCAAAAGCACACAGCATAGCATGAGCACCAGGTTCAACCGCCCCGCTGCAGATGCTGCCTGATATTTTAAGATTCTTCCAGATAAATAAAAGTTCCTGTATTTCAAGGAACAGGAGCAGCAGCTGACTATAACAACAACCAGTCAGGGTTTGTCAAGTCCCCCGAAACCAGGGTCACTGCTGCAGCCCAAGAGCTCCCTTCTGTCAGCTGCAGTCTTTCCCCACCTTCTAAACTCTGACAGTTCCAAGGTCATCAAGCCTGATCCCAAGCTCTCACAGCTGAGGCAGCAAAATTCAGTCTTGCCAGCCCTGCTGAGAAGTCTTGCTCCAGCTCTGACCCCAGTACTCTTAGTTCTTCTTTCTCTTATATGTGGTTCCCTTGTGGCTGCCTACAAGGTGTGTGGAGCAAGGAACAGAGCCCCCAGGAGTTATATATGCCTATCTGTGTTTCCCCAGTCGTGGAAAAGACAATCATAGGATGGAATGGACATAAAGGAGAAACAGACAACAAAAAAAGCCTGTGTCTTCAAAATCATTTAAACCTCCAAGGCTGCAAACTCCAAAATATCAAGTGTGATCTAAACAGTCATATAGAATATGATGAGTACAAACTACTACCTACTTGCTTTGTCTACACAAAGCCAAAAAAGGCTGTGATAATCACTCTATTTGATTCCATGATCTGATTCCTGTGTTACCTTATTTCTCAGAGACTACAGCTCTGCGTACCACAACATGCCTGTCAAGATGTGGATTTACAGGTTACACGGTAGTAGAACCTGCTGGTTTTCAGCTCCAATCGACATCTGCTTGTCGGTACATGCCTGACAGAGTTGCAGTCCAGATTAGGAAACATTTGTTTATTGCCCCAAAATCCCCAACATATTTTTCCAGCTATGTTCCCAGTGCTGAGCTCCATGCTACCCCAGCTCTCTGGTAGTCAGCTCTCACACTGCTTCCTGGTATAAAATTGATTAGAAGCAGCGTGAAATGTTATCAAGCTGACCCTCGGGAGGCTTGGCCCAAAAATAACAGATGGGGAAAGTGGCCTTTTGATTAAACTTTCAATTGCCAAAAACTGTACATTTCCCCTCACCATGCATGTGCACACATGTTGTAACTCAAGAGAAGTCCATGCAAGCTGCAAAGAGCTTAGAACAGGCTTATTCTTATCAACACTGCTGTTGCTGAACTCAGCAGGACACTGGCCATCAGCTTCAGAAGTGGCAGGAAAAAGGTCCTTTGTTCCACTTTTTATTTCACATCTCTCTCTTCCTGGCGTCGCCCAGCTGATCCCGGGGAGAGGATGCGAAAGTAACCAGAGCAGGCCCAGGCTGCCTGCCCGTGATACAAGAGCTGCTAGAGGGGGTGGTGGCAGCTGCTTGGGAAAGCCTTGCCGATTTTCAGGCATTCTCTATAGCCCAGGCCAAGGTGCTTTCAGGGTGGTTCTGAGTAAGCACAAATCATACCTTTCCAAGATGAAAAAATTACCAAAAAATCTCTTCTGGTAAAATCCTGAGAGACCCAGGTCCTGCTGCAAAGAGACAAAGGAGCTACAAAGGATTTTGGTGGGAAGAAAAATGACAAAGAAAGCAGCACATCTTCATGCACACCTGTACTGATATGAACCTCTGATAATAAAAATCTGATTTACATATTCATATATTTATATGCCTGACTGTTCCCATTTCAAAGAGTCTTATTGCCTAAATTGCTGCAGAATATCCAGATGTAAAAGAATGAGGGAAGGATGGAATAGCAGACCTTGGAACCTGAATTTCCAGGCCTCAGTAGCTTTGCCACCGTCTCGTTTGCATAGGTTTTTCACTCTATTCTAGAAGTGCCAGCATACTTTGAGCCACTCATACAGAGCATCTATGGTAGAGATTAGTAACAGAACAGCTTGACTAGGGATTTAAACACAAATGTTTTTGTCTTCGGGCCCAACATTTAGAGCTCACCCCTCATCCATGTAAAATTGGCCATATCTAGTGAGAGGCCATGAGCTGTCACAAAGCTGCCGTTTTGAGAAAAACACATATCAAAATTGATCACTGCTTTCCCGGCTGGCCAGTTCGGTGCTGTCCAGACCAGGACCTGCCTCTGTGGGACACAGCAGGACCCTGTGGTTGCTTTTTTACATGCCACAATCAGTTGCATGTCACAATCAGAGCCACAATCAGTTTAAAACTGGTTTTGAGACCTACAGATGAATGACAAGAGCCAGGCATTGTAGCAAGCAATGATTACTATTATTCTGAAAACAGAGCTTGAGAGGAGCTGCTAAGAGCTAACAGGATGAGGAACATACACATTCATCCACACTTCTCTTTCTCTCTTTTCAGAGGACTCAAGGACCTTTATGTCCCAGCTCCAGCTGTAGTTCCTCAAAATTTAAGGAGGGCAGATCTTTCTACACTCATATTCTTTTTCCCCACCATGTTCAATCACAGAGTTTGTAATGCGTAACAAAAAAATAACCAAAAAAAAAAAAAAAAAAAGAAAAAAAGAAAAGGTTCCCAAACACCTATTTAGTAATTGTCAAGGAGTACCAAGTCCATTATGGTGAGGGTACTTGGGAAGCAATGGAAAGAAAGAAGAAGTCATATTGCGCTCAGTAGGACACATCTGTCTTGAGCAAGGAGTTGGGATTCAGTCAGGGCAGCAGGGTGTACCTATGTGGAGCCTGCACACCCACAGCAATTTAAGGTAATATTTTGGTCACCAGACGGAGACCCCAGGTACACACTGGTTTAAGATCAGATTTGTGAGTGGCAGAAATTGGTATCGCATTGTAGGCCTGTTGTTTAACATTCTATGTATGCAAGATAGAGAACGAAAGAATAAGAATTATCTTTAAATCCCTACTAAATCAGGCCCTGCTTTCTCAAGGCAACCTCGAGCTTTAGTAGTTCAGACAGATTCTCTAGCTGACAATTAATATTAATGGGTAGATTTCACAATGTGGCATTATCACACTATGCGATGGGTGGGCATACCATCTGGGTTTTGGCAGGTATTAAATGTAATCAAAGGGATTACTTGGCTCAGGAAGAAATAGAAAACCTTGGGTTTGTTTAGGTTTTTTCTTCTTTTGTTTGGATGCAGCTCTAGGTGCACTTAGCTGTTTTTGCCTTGTCCTTTTGTTCCTTGTGATGAACGCTCCCGAGTTTACATGGGGAACGAGAGCCAGATAACCAGCCCATTATGTTAGTGGGAGCGAGGACCGATGTGCTTGAGAGCTCCCTGTTTCTCATGCATTGTTGTTTTGGGATCGATTGGCAGCTCGTTTAGGGGTCCGCTGCTGCCTTTTAGAAGGTTAAGCTGCGAATTTAAACAGTGAAGGAATTAAAGGCAAAATTTATTTAGATAATCAACCAATCGGACCCTTTTCAAGATAAAAGCTGAAGAAATCAGGTATGAACAGATGCACGCAGAGGACTTTGCCCTCATCTTCCCACAAAGCAAATACTAAGTGCCAACTTTCCGGGGGGATGGGGGAAGGAAATTCCCCTCCTTCCGTCTTCCTCCTTCCAACCCAGTCACAAACAAGCCCCCGAGCATCAGCAACACTGAAGGGAGGAGATTTAAGTTTAAACTTTGGGAAAGGTATCGATTTCGCAGCCTTTCTCCTCTCCTGTCTGTGCCCCAGCTGATTGTAACTAAGTAATCCTCATCAATCTGTGGTAATGCAGGACCGTGTTTATTGCTGTAGTAGTTAAGTTGTTGTTAATTTTACACTAAACGGTTGTTATGATGATGAATGAGTAGCTCGGGCTGCCACCCAGGGGACTTCAGTCCGTGTAACCGACAAAAGGGAGATCGCAGAAGGAAGATCAGGGAAAAGCCAGAGCGCCCACCCGAGAAGTCGAGAAGTTTCTCCGGG